AGACCCCATAGGAAAAATGGAATTGCCCTGTGTTTCCTCGGGTTGTCGCTTTGGGGTTAGGCCGATTGTTCGTTTGTCAAAAGTAGGGACAGGCGGCATTTCGTTGGAGGGAGCCATGGCAAGATCCGTTCCCTTGTGGCTATGGCTTTTGGGGGGCTTCCTTTCCAGGAGTAGATATGTCTTCTTCGACTCGAGTTGACGCGGTCTCGGTGAATCTGAAGCAGATTGCAGAGATGGCTCCATGACTTGGCGCAAATCCTCCCTTAGGCTACCCTTTTCTGGTTGCTTAGGGAAACCTAATCGGCACCAACCCTTTTGTGTTCTCACACACCCATATATGAACGTCTCCTTTTTTGAGGGTACCCTTTTTGGTGGTTTTAAAGAGACATCAACAGCAAAACGACAATTCAAAAGGAACACAACCATTTTTTAGGGAGTCCCCGAAAAGAAAAGAGACCCCTACACCCTATGGATGTCTCCGGAAAGGCCTTCGCGCCACTGGGGACTCACGTAGCCTCAGGCCTGGAAGCATGCGGAGAGGGCCAACGAGCTCTCCAAGGAGTCTGCGGAGGCCGCGGGGTTCACTGGGGACGGTTCCAAAAGAACCCAAACCTCGTGCAAGGTTGCAAAAGGACGTTGTACGTCTAGTAACATATTTAAATCATATAGTTATGATATGTATACATACATATATATATATATGTATACGGTGTCTTGTTAAAGATATGGTATCTTGTTTGAGATCCCTTTTTTTGGGCAGTGCTTGAACACCAAACGCAAGTCGAGCCCAATTTGTGTACAATGATGCAAGTATCTCAAGATCAGATGATTTCAGTAAAGCACCGAATGGCGGTGAGCCACTGTTTGCCCTGTGGCATTGGAGGCTGCGCTGGAAGCGGCCAACGAATCTATGGAGGCCTCCGGCTGGTCGAAAAGGAAGGGTGAACCCCCTTGAACACCCCCCTCCAACGGATCGAGATGAGATCCTGAAAATCTGCGAGGAAGGTCAGCCGGTCACCGCATTGAATGAAACACGGGGCTTCCTTGGGCAGGTCAATGTTTGCAGATGACATAAGGATCCCTATTTAGAGGTATTCCTAATGTTTGTTGCTATGTGGCAGAGAGCGTTGTTCGCCAACCGAACCTTTGGATTCGCCTCTGCGATTGTTTTCATTGTGAGGCACGCAGGATCCTGGATCAGCATGATATCATCGCCATCGAGAATCAGACCCAGGCCACGGGGGAAACATATTTTTTCCCGGCCAGAAATGAGTCACCCCCTTGAAGGAGACCATGAGATCCTTCCCTCTATCCCACTTTTCGCTTTGGATCATCTCTGAGCCGTGATCCACATCTTTGTTCCTGGAAAGGCGGGAGCATGTCGAAATCACATGCGCCATCCCCGCGACTGCTTCTCAGGGAAGCCTCAGAATCACAGAGTGCCCTTAGATCCATTTCCATGGGCCGAGAGAAGCAGAATTCCTCCACTGGAGATTCAGCCTCCCCTCTAGTGGTTGGGATTGGTGGTGGTTAGGGTTGCTTTCCCATTTACCCTCTACAGACGCCAGGGTTCAATTCCCAGTCCAACCCAAACCACCAACTAAGGGATATCTGAGAGATGGCTGACTGTCACTCTCATCAAGAAACAATGGGATGGTCCCAGAATGGAGGTTAGCCCTTATATAATCTTGGTGAGTTATCACAGTTAACCCAGGGGAGGAAGGTATTAGGTTGGCCGGAGCAATACCGCGTTCCGTGAAGCTATGACAGATTCTTGAATATTTGGGTCCAGCTTCGGACAGTTTGGGGACTCTTGGGACACTTTCTCCATCCTTTTGAACCTGAGAAACTTTGGACTAAGCTTTGATCATTGGTTGCAACTTTATCTGATTTTTCCTGCAAAGGTGAAGACTGGCCGCGTGGCAAGTCTTAGGTCGCAAATGGGTGTGCTTTTCTTGAGGATACCTCTGGGAAACCCACTTGTCTACAGTATACCTAACACACACACACACATGCGCAGCAGATATAGATACCCGAATACCCGACGCTTGAAGGGGCCTATGGGACACATCTCACCTGGGAAACACCAACAATTCGATCCAGGCGGACGTGGCGAAGGCGGAGGCGGTGCAGGGAATTGAATCCCACGCCGGGCGCCTCAGGCGGCCAAACAGGCGGAGTGCGGTGAGGGATCCTGCCGTGAAGGGGTCGATTCATAGATTTCCCCCTTTTTTGGTGGTTTTAAGCATCACCTTTTATGGCCCCCAAAAAGGTGAGGGTTTTTTGGGATGATGTTCTAAGTGTTCTAAGGGGAAATATAGCGAGCCCTGAACTTAGGGTTGTGCAGACGTCACCTTTCGGACTTTGATACGGACGACGTTTCCTCTGCTTGATCAAAAGGCCCTGCGGTTTTGGCGGTCATGCTTACCAGCTTCTTAGACATGTGTTCCTTCTCGAGAAGGGGCAGGGCGGATGACGTCGTGTTTGGACACCCGATGTGCTGATGAAGTTGCGCCGTTTGGTGGCAATTGCCAGCAACTAGGCTGCTAATGTTGGAGTTTTATCCATTGCAGAATTGCATGTTGTTTGTCGCGGCCCTGCCCAATTGTGCGTGCTGTTGCTGTTGCATGCAAAGCATCAGAGACATCCGCTAGTTGCGCAAGCAATCCCATTTGGGTCAGTATTTGAACCCTGTAAATAAATGGTAAATGTTTGACAATGAGTCAGCAAACACTCATGTTCCAAAGAGTGAAGGGTCGAACAAAAAGGCTGAAAGTCCATGTGGGCATCTTCCTGCGACATTCTGCACTTACCCTTGGACCATAGCATGCCCAATTTGGCACAGCAAAGAAGTTGACTAGCTTTCTGCAGGAAAGGGCCAGCAAGAACGGTTTTTGCTTTTATCTACCCTTTTAACCTTGACCAGGTCCCCCAGTAGTCTTTTACCCTTTTCTGGGGGAGGGTTCCCCTACTAAAATAGACCACAGAACAAGGGTACCCTTATTCTAACCTCTCTACTGGAGGACCTAGTTGAAAAGGAAAACAATCCAGCGAATTCCCCGAAGAGATGCCATGCGTCGCTAAGTCTGCCTGGCCCCTGGCCACCCTGCCGGCCCCCTTGGAGAAGACTCGGTGCCGCGGGGTGCTGAGGTGCCAAGGCGGGACGTGTGGCAAAACAAAGGTGAAGCTTCCATTTGCGTAAGAATAGTTGTTATTTTTCCTGGGGACTTGAGTAAATGGAGGGAACAAGTGAGTTATTTGCGCATAACATTTCAAATTGGCAGTGCTTCTTTTTGTGGAGCCGCGGTGCAGGAGCCGAACTTCAGATTTCCTCCTGGAGCCTCAGCACCTGCTGGCTTTTGTCAAGTCTGAACATCAAGAATAGCCAATATCTCAAACACAAATGGGAGGCCACGAAATACGTGTAAACCTTCCTGAGACAAAAGGTAAGAAACGTATAACCAGACAAAGAGGGAACCCTACCTTGGACCCAGATAGCAAGAACCCAACAAGGCGAGGTCAACACAAAAGGGTAAACCATCTTTCAGCCAGAGGATCAAGTAGGTTAGGATGAAGAGAGCCATGCGGGCCCTAGCTTTGCGCACTAAGCCTTTTGATGCAGAGCTTCATGGCAACCAACTGTCTTAAAGGGATTTCCTTGATGGAAATGGAAGCCAAAATGCATCCGATGGATGGAATGGATGCCTTCTGAGCATCACGTTCAGACCGTAGAAGTGCTGCTTGGGGCAAGCCCGTCCAGGGCTGTTCCAACTGCGGATCCACACGGTTTGGCATCCGCAGGTTGGAGGAAAGATCGCCTGAGCTCCTTTCTCTGAGATGACGGTGAGACGCAACACGGAAGGCTACGAGAGCAACCTCACCGAAGGAGGTTTGCGACCTGACCAGGTTATGTCAGGTTGGTTAATAACACTTCTTCCAGACTGATTTGCTTCAGATCAAAAGTAAATGAGCACTGCTTCTTGTTGCGATGTTGCTCGGAAACACGCTGTACATGCACATGCCCTGCCTGATGTAGATTGGCATGACACATGCTGTGTTATTGATGCCCCTGTACTTTGAGGTCGCTTGCACCTTGAGTGCATCTGCAGAAAAGGGCAAGTTGCACGCTGTCGGCAGAAGTCTCGAAGCCGCGTGTGTGCTTGGATGGGAAGGTTGTAGGGTGTTTGTTTTGCAACTACTTTTGCTGGTTGACCCGAACATCAACCAACAGAACAACGGGAACATGTGGCCCTTTTTGGCGCGTCGGGAAACCACTCAGGGAAGGGAGCAAGACTGTGTGTTGTGACTTTGCCCTGTTGTCAATGGGACGACACCGGAGCGATTGGTCAGAAACCCTTGCGGAACCCTCTGTGATCGGCTTTCGCCGCCCTCAGCAAGAAAATACTTGGGCTTGTCTGAACATGCGGAAACCCCAAATGGATGCTTCCTGCTTGCTCCCAAGAACCCCCACGAACAGTCACAATCATTTGTGTCGCTTTGGCACTGGCCGCCACGGAGTTCCCTGGCGCGTGGGTCTCGAAATGCAAGCCGCCGAAATCGGAAGCGGACCGGTGGCCATCTCTTGCCGCAGCTTTATCACTGGTTCGAGCAGAGCGCAATGTATTCGCAAGTTGCACACCACGGCGTGTTCTTTTGAGGCTAGTCTTTCGGGTTTGTTTTGAAGGCGAAGCATTCGGCAACTCAGCCTCCATCAATCTTGGCAGCGCGATGTGAAGGTGCATTTGGATCTTCAGCCTCCGGAAGGCACAGGGTTTTCTCAGAATCACTCTCTCCATTTGCTTTAGTTGAACTCATCCCACGTCTGTGGACCCTTGGACCCTTTGAGCACTCATTGCGATTCAAAATGGTGGTCATAACGGCTCCCCAGGGCAAGCATGTAGCGTGGTGATCGCGTGGCTACGTACCCTTGTGCTCGCAGAAGCTCCCGTAAGCACCTCGGCGTACAAAGTTCCTACTGGAGCCTCAGGGCACCTTTTTGGCAGAACTTGATGCCTTCGCACGCGGCACGGGCTCAGCTAGCGCCCGCGCATGAGCCATGCGCACAAGCCGAGAGGGTCTTCAGCTGCAGCGAAAGATGGCCGGAGCCTCGCGTGGGATGGATCGCAACTGAGGGAAGGCTCCTCCAAAAAGACGGGGGCCTTTGTTTGGTAAGTGGATACCCAGGGATGCATCCATTCGGGCTCCCCACCAAATTGCCGAGAAGAAGAAGGAAAAAGGAACCAACTGGCTTCACACACGGGGAGTGGCTTCCATTCCGATTTTGTGCCCGTGCGGGGCGGGCCTTGAACGGCAACGCAATCAGCCGCATTGCCAAATCGCAAGGCTGCTATTCAGGGCCTTTCAAAACAACCAACTTGTTGCTTTGCATTGCAGAGTCTCTCAGTGAAACTAAGTGCGCGGCGCGGCGTTTTTTTTTTAGAGGGGGGGGGGTCAGGCCCCAAAAACAGCAACGGCCATTGTGTGTCTGCTTGTGAATGAGTCAAAACTACTGCTCGACTTCCCAGGTCCTTTTTGCAAATGCCGCATGGGCATTCTCAACTCCCCTGAGGGTTGATAGGATTCCCTGGCCGTGTATCGCGTGAACAGCTGATTCTACGGATCTGCAGAATATCAGGATAGATGCATAGAAGCTCCCAACACATTGCGTGAGATCCTTTTCTGGTGGTCTCACTGCCCTCTTCGTCTGAGTTAGAGTTGCTGCGTCCACCCTTTGAGACCTGAGAGACAGCATTCGGCTCCTCACGAGCACCCAGACTGCTTCCAAGGTAGAGGAACGCTCCAGAGGCAGCGGGGCCTTGGGGTGTGCGCTGCTGCATTGCCGGGTCATGTTTTTGTACATGCGGGCATGTCCCAAACCGGGGATCTCGGAGTCTCCTAGGAGAGTATTCGTGAAGTATGTGAAAGGTCAACAATATTTTTGCTGGAGGGCTCTGTGAAACGCCCATTCGCGGCTGATCGTTGGATGGGGCAACCACCAAACGGGGTGGAGGGAGTGAGGCAGCATGTGTCAAAAAGGGTTCGGGGGTATGCCCCCTCTGTTCAGTAAGGTACAAAAAATGGGGCTGAGGAAATCCAATTTTTAAAGATACTGGGAGCATACGGGTCCCGAAGCGGTCTGATTCTTGGGACATTGGGCTGCCATGTATGCAGGGACCAAGCGGATGCTTTCTTACCTGCCTCAAGCCCAATATGTTTGAACGGGGGTCGAACCTTTCTTGCCAAGTATTCCTGGTTGGGATTGGGATGATTCTGGTTCGTGTGTTTGAGCAACAAGACAGGAAACTGCTACCACCCCCTATGAACCACACCAGGAACGGGACAGCACCCACTACCCCGAAAGAGTTGGCCAATCGAGAGTTTCCACCTCTTGGTTCTTCCATGATTTTGGAATTGTAGGTATCTTGGCTCTTGACCCCCAACACTTCCAGGTCCCCCAAGGTTCCTTTGCCCAACGCGGTTGGCATCTGGTTCTGCCCGCGGCTGATGCGGGAGGCCACTTTTGTGGGGCAAAGAGCGGCCACTTTTGTGGGCCACTTTTGTGGGTAAGAGCTCCAGGACAATCCAGGTCATGACGGTCATGGACCCCTTCGGGGCTTCAGGGGCTTCCTATTTCACACGCTGGGAGCGTGCCCGCTGGCCAGGCCAGCGCCGGAAGCATCTGCTCGTGGGCGGCCCGAGACAGCGCGGCGGATGCTCATGCCGAAGGGGTGCTTTTCAACGTGGGGAGCCGAACAAAATGGCTGTGGGTCAAAACCAATGGTGCCATTTTGGGGTAGGTGCACCACCCATTTTGGTCTATTTTAGTGGGGAGTGGGATGTTCACTGGGGGTACGGGATTTTGACCCATGGGCAAATGGCGTGTTTCTTTGTTACCTTTGAGAAAATTCTTGGGTTTCGGTGAGACAAACCCACATGGTCATGGCACGAATCAAAGCCCAGTGCTTGCAGTCACCAGGCAGCATGGGCCAGGGTTTCAGAGGAATTCCTGTTTCGACATCCGAGAAGATAGCGTAGTCGCCTTGCCTTGCAGTTCTACGTCTTGACCGAAGGCTCCTTGCGCTTGGAGCGGAGGGTTCTTGCAAGCCTGGCTCAGGAGGTACCTTCTGAGCCAGGAGACGGAAGCTCGTTCGCCAGTCCGGCCCGTTTGGCGGAAGGGCACGGTCCCCCTGGGCTTATCGGGGAAGAGGTTCAAAGACCTGAATTACTTTGGCTGCTTGCCCAGTTGATCCCCCATGAACCTCCCCTTTGTTTCTTTAAAAAAACAGGCCCCCCTTAATAAAAGCAGAATCCTCCTGTATTCGGAAATGATTGGTCGCACGTATACGGGCCAGGTCTGGAACCTTGCCTGCGAAGAGGACAGGGGGGAACAACAGCCATGGCCATGGCCAACCGCAAGCTCCAGCCATGTCGGGCTTTCCGATGCTTCGTGTATATATGGGAGCCCCTGGATGGTGGTTTTTAAAGGAGACCACAAGCAAACCAACCAATCTTGGGTCCTGGATTTTGAGACACAAAGCCCGCCCCAAGCCCAGGCCCTCAGCTCGTGCCACATGTTCAGCGCACTGGACTCCACTGTCGCCCCTAGGTCCAGTCCGATGTCCGAGAACCCATCAACGTTGGGTCATTCCTCGGATCAGAATTCTAGCGGCACTTCTGGCGAACCTATCAGCAGGCCCGGTAGCCAAAAGAAGAAGACTGAGTTCCAGGGCCTCCAGTCCGACTGCGTATTAAAAAAATGAATATAGCAATGGGTGCACGGGTATGGGACCAAACAGTTCCGCAGGAGCTGCTGAGGCTACAGCAAGCCGCGGGCTTTGCGGGGTGCCTTCCTGAGGGGTCTCATGGCCGGCCGCTTCGAGTTTGCAGTGCGACGGCTTGTGTTTCGCTCAAGGGGCAAGTCACAATCAGTTTGTAGGGGGTGCTGTGTTGGTCCATACATGAAATGGCTTGGCGGTTTGGCGTGTTGGCTGCCGGTGTTGCAGATTGTGAGGACCACAGCCATGACGAGCGCACTCTTTCACCTTGTCCGTTGTGCGTCTCGAGCTTCCACGGCAACAACCTTTTGCTTCCAACAAGGACAGCTGATTCCGTCGCTTTTACTGCGCTAAGACGACCGCTTTCTTTGGGGTGTTTTCTTTTGTCCAATTGGTGGTCAGAGTTTGTGAACCCCCCTTCTCGTCTTGAAACTAAATTAGACGGTGCCCACCTCAAAAAGTCACAACACAGAGAGTGAGATCTACAATTTTGGATGTTGCTCAGTGCTTAGGGGAAACCAAAGGAAAACTGACATGAGGGCCGACACCAAACTACCAGTTGGGGAAGCTGAATCATAGCAGGCAGCCAGGTAACCAGGCGGCGGCCAGCAAGCATGAAGCCGTGCGAGGCGCGCTCTGCGCTGCGGCCGGATGGTTCCGAACTGAGAGGGACGCAGAGACCACTGAGAGGGAGAAGCAGCAGTTTTCTTGAGCTGGTTTTTTGTGTGTGATCATTGCGTTGGCCATGTTGTGTTTTTGTTTGCTTTGTTGTTTGTTGGCTTGTTTGTGTGGTTGTGTTCTTTGTTGTTTGTTGGCTTGTTTTTGTGTTTCTTTGCTTTGTTTGTCTTGCTTGCTTGCGTGCTTGGGGCAGCCACCCTGGCAATTTATGGCCTCGAAAGCTTGCATCGTTTGGATGGCTTTTGTTTGAGCGCTGACAGCAGAACGGGGCCCAGGGGTCAAGGGGCAGTGTGCAACATCTGAGCGGTAACGCATGCATGACACCAAGGCCCAAAACCGCTGCTGCTTGAGTTTGGGTGAAGCATGCTTGTCCTTACTTGCCCAAAGCCGACCTTTTGACCTTTTGGTTTCCCCATGTTCTATGTTGAGTCAAGGGCCAGTGAGTCCAAGAAACCTCAAGCGTTCTCGCGGACAAATCAAGCGCATCGCCGAGGTTTGGGAGCATTTCGCCTCGCCCTCCGAGGCTTAGGGAACAGTGTTGATATGGATGAAAGGTTGGCACCGGCCATAAGATAAACCTAGAGGTCACTGTAGATCCTGCATACCTTTGACCTTGCTGCCTCAAACGGTTTGCTTCGGAAGTCTTGAGGGATCTTGGTGTGGATGTTTTGAGGTCGGAAGGACGGCGACTGTCAATGATAGGCGCTAAGAACTGGCTAAGCAGGGCGTATTTCAACATGTTGAAGCTTGCATGATGTCAACTTCGGATAGTCTGCTGCTGCCGCTTGGATATGCCCATGAGCACGTGCGATGGTACCCTTTTTTGCTTGATGGTACCCTTTTGAAGTTGTAGGGTGAAACCAAAAGCAAGCCGCCAGTGAGAGGCGGACCCATGCCTCTTGTCAAGCCCCAAGCCAATGGCAGACTATGTCATAGGCGAGCTGCGGCGAGCCCCCAGCGTAATTTGAGACTAGCTTGGGCCTAGGCAACAGTCCGCCGCTTCACGGGCCTTTACAAATGGGCATAAGTAAAGCCATGTTTGCCCAAAGAATGAGCGCCCACACCTCCATCGCGCGCAGCTTAGCCAAACAGAAACAGGAGGATTCTCTGGACGGTGTTCCCCCAAAGTGAAGAAATTCCTACAACAGGGGACGCCCCTTTTACCAAACAGCCTGAGGTTTCTTACTTCTAGGTTTCCATCAAACCCCAGGTTAAACCTTTGAGGGCTCAATCAACCTTGGGGTTGCACCCCTCAATTCACTGGGAAACCATACCCCTTGTTGGCGAATGCACGTAGCGTATATATATATATATATACCAGACGTTTGTCGAATAACTGCCTTGTTTAGTGATACATTACAACAGCTTACAACGGTGCTTGAGGTGAGCCACTTGGAAGCTACTCATGTTGGTTGTTTTGTGGCCGGCACTTGCGAATTCATGGTCAGAAAACACTCCATGGGACCATGCCCCATGCCCCCCCCCAGCTCAAGATGCATGTTCATATTTTTCCCCCTAGGGCACCGAAGCAACTGATTCTTCTTGATGGCTTCCCCAAACAGTCAAATCCATTTAGATTATTGATCATACAATATGGTTATTCGGAATCAACTTAAATCAGGTTGTAAGGCTGTGTATTGTGATGCCAATCGGATTCGGATCCCATTTGAAGTGATCTGGTAGTCATAGAGATGGCTCACTTTGGTAGCACAGAAGGAGTTTTCTCCCACAGCTATGAGATGCCCAAATGGTTAGGGAGATCTTGAGCGGACGTTTAACCATGCTCTTACATTTGCCTCTCAAGGTCTCGAAGAGGGTTTCCACCATCACTAGCCACTACCTAGCAGCTCGCGCAGCTTGGAACTCGAGGTAGGAACAATCTGAATGGCGGGAAGCCAGAAAAAAGCAAGATGCCAATCAAAGATGCGGTCGGCATCCCCGACCACAACCAGGGAGCTTTCCAGATCCAGTGGGGTGGCATAAGATGAGGCCTTGGTCAACTGTGTACAGCTGCTCAAAGAAGAGGGTCACAATGCCAACTTGCGGTAGACAAACTGCCTGTGACCGCTCTCCCATAAACCACTTTCTAAAACGCAAATCGCAGGTGAGTGAGCTGCGGGCGTTCGCAGAGGAGTCTTTCCAGGAGCGACTTGCCGGCATGTTGCGGATGGGCAACTGATTGAAGTGCATGGGGTGGCGTGTCAAAGAGGGGATCTCCTTTTGGATGCGTTTGAGAGGAAACCTAGCGATTCCAGGCAGCCCGCGCGGTGCTTCCAGCTAGGTGACAAGGGGACTCCTCCCAAACACAATTGAAGGGAACACCCTGGCTATTTACTATAATAAGTAACAGGGGTTTAGGCTATGTTTAGGCCGGTGAGTAGTGATTTGTGTAAATTGAAAGAGGACAAGGCCTCAGTACCAGTTGCAAGATGCGGATCCGACTGCGGGCAGCAAATCGCTCTTTAAAGATGCTCGAGCTTAAAGCAGATAGCATGTGTGGGCGCGAGAAGAAGCGGCAAGCATTGAAGGGCACTTTGGGGGCGTATGACATTTATCCCGAGATTGGCGCCCTCTCCCAACATCTACTTTCATTGCTGGTGCACAACACCACCTAGCACCCTTGAGCTTTGCAAGCATTCTTTGCCACACTCAACTCTGACATACCTCAAAATTCCTTTTATACATACATGTGTAGACATATATAATATATATATATATATATATATATCGGTACATAAATATAGAATATATACTACGTATATATATATACACACATGATGTATCTATGATTCAAGGCCAGCCCGTGCATGAGCAACGGGGTCGTGCCATCACTTGCAGGCTTCATCATCGCGGTGCTGAAGCCAGGAGCCCCAGGCCTCAGCCACCTGCAGCGCCTCGCGGGTCCCTCGCTTATGCTTCTCAGTAAGAATCCAACTATGGCCCCCACGCTTTTCATGTTTTATGGGTTATGTGCGTTGCTCATGTTTCTGAAATGTGGCCCGTGTTTTGTTCAGATTTGTTCTTTTGTTTCTCAGTAAGTTCCCTTTAGAATCAACCAACCCATGTAACTGTAGACCTTGCTGTTGCGCACTGCCCTGCTTTTGACTCTCCGTGCGACGACAACTTGTGATGGCTTTTCCCCTTTTTTGCGCCCAGCGCCTTGTCCTTGTGGCCATTGCTTGAAGTGAACAGCCCAATCCAACTTGTGATGTACAAAGCTGAGATGAGACGTGGCATATTTCCTGAACTTGCCATGGGGGCTATGCCAATGATGGATGCTATGGCCTTTGATGAAGAAGGAACATATTGAAACAGGAACCCCTGGCCAAACCGTGCAATCAGCGTTTCAGCGAACCGAGAGGTGTGAGAAGGGGGAGCCCCAACAAAAAGACAACCAGAGCAGAACCAAAGCCATTAGAAGAAAGTCCACCTACGCTAAGCACAACAAACACTAGAAGCCTGGCTCTCTTTGCTCAGGTGTCTTTGGTTCTTCCTTCCCAATGTGACCCAGGCTGGATCGTCCTCACAGGGGTCCCTAGATTTCCCTTGTGTGAGCCATTGTAGAAAGCACCTTTTGGTTCCCAATCGTACGTTTCCTTTTGTTGGTTTGCGATATTTGCAAATTGGCAACTGGGACTTAGACAACTCAGCCACTGTTCTCGCAGCTGGATTCAACCCATGTCAAAGCCCATGGGATACTGCAATACTGTCTCTTCAACCCGTCGCTTGGGTGACTTTATGAATGATACACCGGGAGCCCTTATGTGATCGCTAGTAAGGATCAAACATTGCGACTTCGCCATTCAAGGGGTCTTTTCAGGTACAAGGTTTGGCGTAGGAAGTCCCAACAACGCAATGACGCCTGCTTGGACGAGCGTACCCTTTTTGCCACCTCCCCGTGCAATGGACGCTTGGAGATGAAGTCCCTCAAAGAACGAATACCCTAACACCAATACTCATGAACGGACAACCAATATCCTAACAAAGATTGTTGAACAATCGGCCGTTAGCTTCCAAACCCATACCCTAAAGAGGATAGTTGCAGCAGTGAACGACTTCCAGTCTCTAAGTGTCCTCTGCACAGGCTTCAACATTGAGAATGGGTTTGTGCGGCGCAATGCAAGCCACACAAAGTGCTTAAAGTCAGCTCCAAACATAGTCACTTAGCCCCAGGGAACCCCTGAATCTGGTGGCCAGGCATTCCCCAGCCCTAAAAGGGCACCACTCTTTTCAGCGGATTCAATGGAGACACACCCATAATATATCCCTCCCCAGTCCCCGCCCCGCCACCGCTCACAGGCACCTCAGCTGGCCCCATGGGCATTGAGACCTCGGCCCTGTCCGGCACCAAGACTGAGGTCAGCTTGCCTGAAAATAGATGGGGACAGTCCGCAAATGCATGTCTTTAATTCATGTGTTCGGAACCCTATAAACTTTGCCAGTGGAATCCATCTATTGATCCAAAAGGACACGTCCGTTTGCCAGTCAGGCTCAAGGCGTTTTCTTCCAGCAGACACTCTTCGCGCAGATCCGGTGAATTTATATTTCCAATCGGCACGTTCCAATTGCTGTCTAGCGGCCAGCGGGCCAGCTCGCGTGAGATGTCGAGCTTTCAACCAGGCCGGCGCTGGGAGTTCTGAAGCCATTTCGAAGTGGCGGCAAAGGGGGGGAAGCTCCTTTTGGTTGTTTCCCTTTTGGTGTCCTCTAGAGAATCCGAAAAGGGTACCATCAAAAAGCATCCGTTTTGATCCATCAAGTGTTGGTCGCGCTTTGTGTCAGGGTGAAGGTGTTTGCAGCCATGTCCGCTTTGGATTAAGAAGCACCTCCAGATTGATCTGGAGCGATTTCGTGCATAGTAGAACCTTGCGGACATGAACCATAGAACGAGACGTCAACACAACAAGAAGCAAGATGTTGCTTTATTTTGGACTTGTGAAAGGTAAACTAAACGTAAAACCTGCGATTGTGTGTGTCTGTTTGCCTCAAACCGTCCTTCGCACGGATGCGACGCGTCTTGCCAAAGCGGAAAAACCGCTCAGCGAGTTGCCAGGCAGCCGCGGGCCGCTGACGGGAGAAGGCGCTTGTGGCTCTGAGCGCCCAAAACGCGAATTGTCAAATTATTTGGGTCTGTGTGAAGATAGTTGCTGAACCCCCCAAGCAGGATTTACGTTTAGTTTCTCTTTAACAAGCCAAACAGAAAGCAAACAACCTCACAAAATCGGAGGTTTACGTTTAGTTCCCTTCAGCAAGCCCAAAAAGAAAGCAAACAAACACACAAAATCGGAGGTTTACGGTTAGTTCCCTTCAGCAAGCCCAAAAAGACAGCAAACAACCACACAAAATCGGAGGTTTACGTTTAGTTTCGCTTCAGCAAGTCTAAAAAGAAAGCAAACAACCACACAAAATCGAAGGTTTACCTTTAGTTTCCCTTTTTCAAGCCAAAAAGAAAGCAAACAACCACGCAAAATCGAAGGTTTACCTTTAGTTTCCCTTTTACAAGCCAAAAAGAAGACAAACAATCACACAAATCAGAGCTTTACGTTTAGTTTCCCTTCATCTAGCCAAAAAAGAAGGCAAACAATCACACAAAATCGAAGCGTTTAGTTTCCCTTCATCAAGCCAAAAGAAGAAGGCAAGCAATCACACAAATCGGAGGTTTACGTTTAGTTTCCTTTCGACAAGTCAAAAATGAAGGCAAACACATCGGTGGTTTTCGTTTAATTTCCCTTTTACAAGCCAAAAAGAAAGCAAACCATCACACAAAATCGGAGGTTTACGTTCAGTTTCCCTTCAACAAGCCAAAAAGAAGACAAACAATCACACAATTCGCAAGTTTACGTTGTTAGACAATCGAAGGTTCACGTTTTTAGATTCCTAAGCCAAGAAGGAAAAGCAACTATCACACACACACAAACAAACGAGCAACGCTGGGGCCCTACACCAGGTGCCGCTCGGAGTGCTTCCTGGCATGGCCGGCCCCGGAGGTCGCTGGCGGAGCCTTGGGCTTGTTCTTTAGGGCGCAGATCGGTTTCGGCAGCTTGCTTTGTTGATAAGGTGTGTCTGATTTGTCTGATTTGTTTGGTTGTTTCTGTCTTGCCTTGCTTGCTGGCTATTTTGCTTGCTGGCTTGCTTTTGGTTCTTCTTTTCTTTGCCTTGCTTGCTTGCTTGCTTGATTTCTTTCTTTCATTCCTTCCTTCCTTCATTCATTCATTCCTTCATTCCTTCATTCATTCATTCATTCATTCATTTGTTCTTTATTTCTTTCTTTCTTTCCTTCCTTCCTTCTTTCTTTCTTTCTTTCTTTCTTTCTTTCTTTCTTTCTTTGGTTGGTTGGTTCGGTTGCTTGCTTGCTTGCTTGCTTGCTTGGTTGGTTGGTTGCTTGCTTGGTTGGTTGGTTGGTTGGTGTTATTTTGCTCCCTCTGCTAGTCAGTAGTTTCTGCCCGAAGTTTGACCAAGCATGGAACCACGTAGCAAGGGTGAACCGGAGCATTCCGACTCCCTCCCTGGTAGGTTTGGTCAGATGCTTGCATTGGATCACTCCAACTGAAGGACCAAATCGCCGTTGCTGAAGCTATCAGCCCGCCATGACCTTTGCTGAAGCCACCTACGTTCCAAGTTTCAAGCTCCCGCCTGAAAAATCGCTCAGCTTTCTTGGTGTAGGTTCTTACATTATGAGCTGCCACGCAGCTCTCCCCTAAAGATTGATCATATATCGAACCTGAAAAAGGGGTCATAAATGGTCACGATCATGGTTCAGGTTTCATGATAGGTTGCGTTCAGATGATTCAAATTTTGATTCTGTTTCCACTCCGCTGAGCCCAGGAAGAGATTGTGGAAGGAGGCAAGGACCACGCGTAGCGCGCCGGCGCCCCTGTCACATGCCCAGGCCAAGAGTTGTTCGCCTGAAATTGGGAGCCCCTCTTACGGTTTTGCAAGGAACTGCTAGTGAACTGCAGTTCCCCTGTAATTCCCTTCAAACCTAAAGCGGAGTGGGGCAGGAGGCCTAGTTTGAGAAACACCTACAGCACACTGGCGTGGGGCTAATTGCTGCAGCTCCTGGTACAGGGCCTTGTGGCCAGTCGGGCTCTGTTCATGCTTGGTTTTCCTGTCGCTGCTCTTTAGAAACCAGCCCGAAAAACGAAAGCGCCAGCTTGGAGGGTGCTGGTATCCGAACTGTTTTGGGGTCATGGCTAGTTTTGAGGATCCTAGGGCTTAGGCCCCCCCCCCCCCAACCTGTGGCAAAACTCCGGCAGGTGGCGGGAAGCGATGCACGGTTGCAGGGGAAGAGTTCGAGGCGCAGACATTCCCATTGAAACTTAAAATGGGGTTTCCACAAATCCGTTGCGCCCCTGAAGTTGGTTGGTACGAAACCCTGACCAAATTGAAGCCTGAAAAGTTGGGGTGTCTCAAGGCATGCTAAGTAGTACTAAGGTCTGAATCTGTTGGTTCTCCTTTCAAGCCATTTCCCACGAGACAGGCCTGGAGCCTGCTTGCAATCCCGTTTTGGTCCATCCTGCCCCTAGCCTTTGGAGCGGCCCCCGATCTTTTCCGAGGCTTTGAAGCTCAAAGAGGGGTGGCTTGCAGTGGTCAGAGTTGCACTTTGAAACGTGTAGACATGGGTGGGTCTTCTGTTTCCGTTTAGTTTCACAATTCTCCGCTGTCCGGTTTTTGAAGGAGACACCACAACGGGACTGAGTCTGAGGAGTTCTAAAGCAGCACAGTCAAAAATCCACGACAGGCTTGAGTAAATATCAGGAACTGGGAGTGGTGTTTGGGCAAAAGTGCTACTAAATTCTCACCATAGTGACCAACATTTGGCTGATGTGCAAGGGGCTCAGCACAGGCTCAGCAAGATGCTGGAGGACACAAATTGCAAAGAGCTTCCATCTTGCATATCTTGTATCGTATGGCATCCAAACAGTACTGCCCTCAGCGCCTGCATCGCGCATCCTGGTTTCCACAACGAAGCCAGCTTGTGCACCCCCGAACGTTCAGCCCTGCGAACAAGGCCTCTGGTAAATCGCAAGAATGCTATTTGAGCTTTTCTGGCCAAACCAATTCTGCAGTTCATGATTTGCCGGAGTTTGTAGGCGTGCGTGCTGCTTTCGTATGTGTCTTGATATTTGAGTGGGTCCATGGGTCCAAACGGGTGCATCTGAGGTGGCATAGGGACAGCTTGAGACGTGTGACTCGCCGAACACATCAAAGAGGGTCTTCCTGCAATTGGATATGCTTCATCTCTGGCATTTGTACAATTGTCGAGAGACTTAGCCATTTGGGAATACTGTATATAGTCGACTGTCAGATGAAGGTTCCCCTTCAGCAGCATTCAGAAAGTGAGAGAATGTGTTTCCTGTGTCCTGAAGTCATCAAGCCTTGGCCTTTACATACATTAGCAATCCGTTTATCAACTGCCCTAACCACAGCACGCAGCAGCACAAGCTCCCTTTGCAATTTATAGTTAAGGGGCGCGGAGTGTCATTCTCTATTTCACCAGTTTGTTGACGAAGGCAAGGAGTTTCAAACCTGTTGTTCACCCAACCTCTCCGAGAACCGCAGTCTCCAAGCTTTCCGTGATTTGTTCGACTAATTTTGGAAGACCCGGGTTGCTTGCTGTCAGCTTGCCCTTCTGACACTTTTTAGAACCCGTCCCCACGGAGGACCCCTCATTGTGCTGAGCGCATTCCGCGCTTTTTGCAGGCCTTAGACGTGCCGGAAACCATCGTGGAGACGTGGCTTGGGCTGAAGGAACGTTTCTTCAAAAGAGGCCGGGGTAAACTTGCTGGTGCCAGGAATGAACCTGGGGATTCCCTGAAAGGAAACCACCGGCTGGATGGTTTATAGAGGTCATTCCCTCATTCCCTGCTGAGCACCAGCAAGTAAAACAGGATTGCGGACCTCTTCGCCTTAGGCGACAGCTCTCGGTGGTGGTGGCGGAATCCTTTGAGAGGATGCCACTCGGCAGATACAGATCGGTGCGATGGTTGACGGTTTGGGAGGCCCTGTGAGCTGAGTGCACAAAATGTTGACAGAATCGAGCGTGCCAAAGCACCATGGCTCCTCACCATCCCATCTTCACTGCTCTGGCTGCTTTTTAGTTCCAGTTTCCCGCAAGGTGCTCTTGAAAGGGAAACCGATCAGCTGCTGGTGATTGGCAGTGGGGTGGTTCCTTCAGGCTGAACCATGCCACACTGAGGAAGCGCAACACTTTGCTAGATCAAGCATATGTTCAAGAGATCCAGCAAGAGGCAGGTTGGCCGCCGTTTGCTCTGGGCGGGCGGGTTGGCGGGCGGTTTGGTTGGTTGGTTGGTTGGTTGGCTGGTTGGTTGGTGCATCGTT